ATTACATGTTGACACCCTAAGACAAGAAGTGTGCTACTGGCAAGATCACCAGATAAAAATATGTTAAAAAAATAAAGGGTTGGGAAATTCTGTTTCCCATACCAATACATTGACCTAAAAAGGTTGTAGCTGTTCCAAGCTTTCTACTAAAAATATGTGCTCACTTCCTGTACAGATTAATCACTGCCCAGTGGTAGCCCAAACAGAGATTATAACCCTTCCATGTACTATCCCAAAAGTTTGCACAGAGTTGAGTTTTAAGGCACGTGGGTGTCTCCCCAGCAACTGTCTGCCTAACTGAGACAACCGCACACGGGGAGGGTGGCTAGAGATTGGAGGAAAACATTTAAAAAGGAACAAAAAGGCATTTCAAATCAAGTTTAGCTATATATATATATATATATTTGTAATTAAGGTTTAATATCACTTTAAGTGAACCTCTTGCTTTGACATGAAAAAACAAAACCACAAGTTAAAACAAAACATCAGCTCACCGCCCATAGCAGCAATGCTAGCAGGGAGTGTTCAGCCAGACTTCTCCTAAGATAAGCTGGCTATAACTAAGGCCAGGATTGGTTAAATGTGTTAGCATAGGCATGGTGAATAATAAAGTTATGCCTAAATACCTGAAAAGCTGGCATTTTTGAAAGCACAGTATAATTTTTATTTTCGTATTGACCTTTATATGGTCATGGTCAAAAAGTTAACATGGAAAGTTTGACAAAGATGTATTGTTAATGAAGTCCCAGTAATAAAAAAAAAAAGAAGGAAATGGTGGGTAATTTTTCCAACGTTTCACTAGAATTGGTTTGTGCTTTAAGATATTACAAAAGGCACAAAATGTCAAGCAAGTACAGAATGCTGATGCAACTGGAACAGTCTAAAACATTTTTAGCATAGTGATCATGGACGCGAAAATGTTGAAATATTAAGCAGAAGGCATGATGTAGGGCTCGTTGGTCAGTGACTACTTCCTAGCGACTACTCTGGGGGATATTGAGCTTTACAGACAAAGTCAAAGTGCTTCCAGGAAACATTACACAGGATTTGAGAATGTCTGTGGAAAGCAGAGGAGTATCCTGAAAACATATATTCAGTGAGGAAATGTGTACAGGGATATCAGCTACAGCAAGAAATGCTTTACAGTAGAAAAAAAAAAAACCTTAGGAAGGGAGTTTAGCTAAATAAATGGCCATATGTTGTCCCTTACACCACTGCCGAAAAGTGACAAACTAAAAACATAAACGTCCAACTCTACATATCACGTCATAGTCTGTATATAAGGGATCGCAAAAAGTGGATGATGGGGTGACCAGAAAAAGCTCCAATATGATGGAAATTTATATAGGATCCCTTATTGATGACTGCCAGAATGGCAGCGATAAAACAAAGCTACGCTTCAAGGGAGTTTGGCCAAAATCAGTCATATGATACATGTATAGGTATGATCCAATCCTCATTTCAGGATTCTATTCAGCTTGTTCCTTAAACAAATAAGCCACACTCCCCAGCATAATGTGCCTGCCCAAAACACCCCCCTTCTCTAGATCATGCTGATAGCACAGCTCATGATCTAGCAAAGCAAAGAAAAAACCCTGTCTGTGTCACGAGACTGGACAATTTTTTTTCTTCTTTTGTTCGTATTTGTTCAGCCATGCCTTTGGG